TACTTTTGAGGATTCGATTTTCAGAACCATAATCTGTACACCACCCGGGGGTGCATGTATAAATAGGGTGGTGTACAGATTATGGTTCTGAAAATCGAATCCTCAAAAGTAATTTACTAATTTGTTCCTGAGTCTTGGTGTACAGATTATGGTTCTGAAAATCGAATCCTCAAAAGTAATTTACTAATTTGTTCCCTAGTCTTCTGAGTTGCTGGTCGAACTGTAATCAGACTAATGCTGCCCAGAATAGAAGAGCCTTTGCTAGAGCGTTTTTTTTTTGTTTTTTTTTTTTTTAATTAAAGGCAGAGTAAAGGCGATATGATCGATATCAAAACTTGCGAGAGCAACCCTACCCTTGCTTTTTTCTTTTTCAGTCCTTGGCACATACACAGCCTGTGACAGCCGTTTATCGTCTGCTGCTGCTGATTGCCCGTCTTCCCATCCTCTGCCCGATTTTATTCTGACCACCTTGCTTGGTTTCGTTTTTCATTCCTTCCTTTACAAGTTTGCCTCTTTCAGATGTTTGCTCTACCAAAGAACTTTCATCTCTGCTCCCCGTCATCCATACCGATCTCTCAATTCTCCCGCAACTCTGTAATCCTTAAGAGACCGGTACACCCAGGCCTGCAGGCGCCTTACTTCGCGCCAAGCTTTTGCAAACCACCAGCAGTGCACTTTTCTTCTTTTATGGCTCGTGCCGCCAGCCATTGTGGTCCAGCAGGCCGAGCCTCCCAAATTTTTGTAGGCTACGAGTTTCTTTTTCAGCAAGGCTGGGGCCAGTACTGGCGATTTAAGAGAACAGCCTCTCTCCCCTGACCTCTACAATTTCCCCTCTCTCTCAACCATCACTTTGTGAAGTCTTCCCTCTATTCAATGGCTCACACACACACACACACACACACACACACACACACACACACACACACACACACAGAGGTGCTATGGCCTAGTAAGGCCATTAGTGGCCCTCGGCCTCCTTCCGCCAATCCATGGCCAGCGCATGGAGTGCGTGTTCCTCCCTGAATAGCCCTTCTCGTCGTCGCACGCGTTCCTCATCGGCAGCCTTTGCTGCTGCTGCTTCACTCTTCTCACGTTGTTCTTCCACAAGACGGTGGTGTTCTTCTGCTTCCTCCTCCTCTTTCTTCCGTGCGGCTGTCGCCGCATCTGCCCTTTTCTTCGTTTCCAATTTTCCGCCATCATGTCCAACATGCGGGCCTCATAGGCCTCGGCGGTTTCCCCTGCTTTCCATTCCATGTCGCCCGTCATTGATCGGGTGACTCCAGGCATATGCTGCAGGAACGGGTGACACTAGCTGTTAATGTGGTCTGCACGGATGTCTGCTGACGTGGCCTGCTAACGCGGCCTGCTAATGTGGTCTCCTGACATGGAGAGACAAAGATGGAGGTGAGGGAGAAGACCAAGATCGTGATAGCGAAGTCCAAAAATAGACTCCCTGCCGAATGTCCAATCAATGTCTGCCACAAAATGCCGAATCAGATCCTGGACTTCATGCCCGATGTAACCTCTGCCCGTAACCTCTCTCTCTGAAGATGAAGAAGAAGAAGAAGAAGGAGAAGAAGGGGAAGAAGAAGAAGACCGATGTAACCTCTGCCTGTAACCTCTCTCCCTCTCTCTGAAGAAGAAGAAGAAGAAGAGGGAAGGAGGAAGGAGGAAGGAGGAAGGAGGAGAGATGGAGGGCGAGAGCAAGAACAAGAAGAAGATGCCGTCCTCCTCGCTATCTCACCTGCAGGTACCGCTGCCGTGTACTAACTACCGCCGGTGTCTCTCTCCTCTGTGCAGGTCGCTGGCGTGGGCCAGCTATGGCGCCCAGATGAGGACCGACGATGCAGGTATGGCCTCCGCCCGTCGCCCTACCTACGCCTCTACTCCCTAGCGCAGCGCAGTGTCGCGCTGCTCCAGCAGCGTGTCGCCCAAGAAGTGAGCTACTCGAACTGTGTGTCTGCCCTGGCCTGGCAAAGCTAGCGCTGCGCCTCGCGGGTGTGCTGACTTGTGCCTCTGGTCCTAGGCCAAAACGTGGCCTGCCTGGGTCCCTACCGGAAGTCCAGGACCTCCCTGCTGATGCAGCAGGGAGTGTCCACAACTGGACAACAATGGACCTGGTCCAACAGGGCCTGCCTACGTCCATACCCGGCCAAAAACGTGGCCTTGTCCAAACAGACCAAAAGTCCGTTCGGACGAACTGCAAGTCGGAAACGATGCCTGAACAGACAAAAATAGGACAGCAAATAAATAAATAAATAAATGAATGCTGCCTCAAATCGAAACCTGCAGGCCTAAGGCCAGCCGTGGGCCTCCAGGGCGCGTCTGAGGGGCGTGCGGCCGGGGCCCCCCAGCAACCGTCGGGCCCCCAAAATGGGCCCCGTGTGCAGGCTCAGCATGTAACACTCTCTCTCTCATAGTCAGTGTCTACATTTCCACCAATCTATCTTCCTATCGATCGTTGTTGTTCTCCCCTCTCTCATTCACATGCACGTATTCATCTCTCTCTTTCTCTCTCTCTCTCTCTCTCTCTCTCTCTCTCTCTCTCTCTCTCTCTCTCTCTCTCTCTCTCTCTCTCTCTCTCTCTCTCTTCCTCCACGTCTGTTTCCGAGTGCGAAGTTTTGGCTATGACATTTACACAGACGAAAGCTGTGATATCTTTGACAGAATCCGATGCAGCAGAGGTCAGGCTCTCCTGCATATATGTGGAGGAAATGCCTGATAGG